ACGCGTTATCTCTTCATGACGATTTAGGTGAAGATTTGAGTGACGAATTTGATGAAATTGAGGGAGTTGATCAACAAGATCTTAAAAAAGAAGATTTTGTTTTAGTAAGATTTATGACTAAATCCAAACTGATTTATTTTTTGGGGCAAATTTTGGAAATTTCAAAGAGGCAACAAAAATTAAATTTTTGAGAAGAAAGGGTAACTCAACTACTTTTTATTTCCCACAAATTGAAGACTTAAGCGAAGTGGACAATGGAGACATTATCAGCAAATTGAAAACTCTAACAAAAACTGAACAACGAGACAACTTTATATTTTATGTTTAGTTACAATTTTAGCACCTTAATTGTTAACTGATTTTGTTTAGGTGGGTCATTAATGTTATTTTTTCACTACATTGTGTTTTACTCTTGATATTTTTTCTAAAATAAAGTACTTTTTCAAAACTTTTTCTTTTTTTATTCCTTTAAATATCCTTTTTTAACATAGTCGAATGCTCCCCTCCACCAGGTCAAATGCTCCCTAGCGGTGGGGAGCATTCGACCATTTGTAAAGTTTAAAAAAAATTTTTTTGCTGTTAAATGTTTTTATTTGTATTATCTTTAATTTCAGGTTAATTATTTGAACAAAACTTTGATCTACCTATCAATGCTCTTTTATTTTAAAAATATGCATTTAACAAATTTTTATATACAAAAAACCATTTTGTGGTCGAAAGCTCCCCTCCTTCCCCTATCTATCTATCTAATTAGACTTCTTCGGTCCATCTTTGGACATAGGCCTCCCCAATCCTTTTCCATTCTTCTCTGTCTGTCGCTACAGTCATCCATCTAGAGCCCACGTGCTTCTTGATATCATCTGCCCATCTCATTTGGGGCCTTCCTCTGTTTCGTTTATATTCCCACGGTCTCCAACTTATAAGAATTTTGTTCCATCGATCTTCTTTTTGTCTTATATTGTGTCCGGCAAATCTCCATTTCAATTTTGCAACTTCTTGTCTAACATCCCTCACTTTTGTTTTCTCTATTATCCACTCGTTTCTCTTCTTATCCATTAGTCTTATGTGCAACATTTGTCTTTCCATTGCTCTTTGGGTTTTTATGATTTTGTCCATGTTTGCTTTTGTAAATGTCCACGTTTGGGAGCCATATGTAAGAACAGGGAGTACGCATTGATTATATACTTTGGTCTTAAGATGCTGTGGATATCTTTTGTTTTTAAGAATGTAGCTTAGTTTGCCAAATGCCGCCCATGCCAGTCTAACTCGTCTCTTGATCTCTGCTGTTTGGTTATCTTTGTTAAGTTTTATAGTTTGACCAAGATATATATAATCCTTAACTTGTTCTATTTCATCTTTTCCGATTCTCATTGTGATGTCTTCATCTGTATTTGTTATAGTTTTGGTCTTGCTGTAATTCATATTAAGGCCTATCTTTCCAGCTTCTACGTCCAGTTCTTTCATCATTTCAAATAATTCTTCTTTTTTATCGGTTATCAATACGATGTCATCAGCGTACCTTAGATGGTTCAAGCGTTGTCCACAAATTTTTATACCTTTTTTTTCCCATTCTAATCTTTTAAAAGTATCTTCAAGAGCCCGATTGAAAAGTTTCGGTCATATTGTATCACCCTTTCTCACGCCTCTACTTATTTGTAATGATTTTGTTCCTTCATATACTTTAATTGTTGTTTTGGCTTCCTTATATATATTGGTTATTAGTTCCGTATATCTGTGGTCAATTCGGCTGTTAATCAAAGAACTTTTCACTGCCCAATGTTCGACACTGTCGAAAGCCTTTTCGAAATCTATGAACGCCATATATAGAGGAATGTGGTATTCATTTGCTCGTTCTATAAGTATTTTCATACTTAGTAAATGGTCACTTGTGCTGAATCCCTTTCTAAAACTAGCTTGTTCTTTCGACTGGTATCCATCGAATTTTGTCGTCAATCTATTGGTTAAAATTTTTGTTAGGAGTTTATACATTACATTGAGGAGTGTTATAGGATGGTAGTTTTTTATATCTGCTTTATCTCCTTTCTTGTGTAGGATAATGGTTACTGATTCCTTCCAGTTGTTTGGGATTCTTTTTTCTTTTAATATCCTGTTAAAAAGGGAATGTAGAGTATTAATTATCACTTTTCCACCATATTTCAGCATCTCTGTAGTTACTCCATCTTTTCCAGGCGATTTGTTGTTTTTCATTTCTTTCAATGCCTTCTTTATTTCTGATTTGCTTATTTCGGGCTGCAGCTCTGAGTTGACATTTTTTATTTTGACCTTAAGTTGGTTTTTAATTTCTTTTGGTGGTTTCTTTTTTGTTTTATATAATTCTGAGTAGAAATGGTGGATTATATTTATGATGTCATCTTTAACGTTTGTTTCTATTCCATTTACATCTTCTATTTTGTTTATTTCAAACTTACCGAATTTCGGCCTTAAGCATTTCATATTTTTGTTGTATTGTATTACTTCTTCTATTTTTAGTTCTTGTTCTTTTCTCTTATTTTCTTTTATCATTCTGCCTATTGTTTTATTAACTTCTACATATTCTATAGATTTTCTTTTGCCTTCTTCGTTCAGCTTCCTTCTTTTATCCATAAGCTTCTTTGTTTCTGTTGATATATAGTTGTTCTTTTTTAGATCTTTCTTTGCTATTTCTTTTCCTGATGTAATCATTGTTGCTGTAAGTAGGTTGTCTATTTCGTCTATATCTTTATCGTCACTGTCTAATCTTTGGGTAAGTTGTTCTTTTAATAGGTCTTTGTATATCTCTTTATATTGACCTAGTTTGTTTCTATCTACTAGATTCCAGTTTCTACTTATTTTTCTTTTCATCTCATAGTTACCGTCAATACTAATTTTTGCTCTGACCATCCTGTGATCGCTACCTGTTGTGAATCTGTTAAGAACTGTTACATCTTTAATGATATATCGTTCCGTGGACAGTATGTAGTCGATCTCATTTTTTGTGGATCCATTAGGGCTGATCCGTGTCCACTTTCGTTGGGGCTTCTTTTTGTAAAAGGAGTTCATTGCGTATAGATGCTTTTCTTCTAGGTAGTTCATCAAAGTATCACCTCTATCATTTTTCTGGCCATACCCGAAATCTCCTATTTTAGTTTCTTCTTTGTTTAGTTTTTTACCCAGTTTGGCATTGAAATCTCCAATTACTAGTGTAAGATGATTTTTATGTTCTTCCATAGCATTTGATATATCTTCATAAAATAGTTCGATATTTTCTTCATCATAAGCTATCGTGGGGGCATATACCTGGATAATTTTAATTGATGTTCTTCTTATTTTAAGTATGACATAGGCGACACGATCTGATATACCTTTGATAATTTGGACGTGCTTGCTTATAGCTTTATTTATTATAAATCCTACTCCAAATTTACTATTCATTTCATTTCCTTTATAATATAGTAGATTACCAGATTTTAGCTGTATTCGGTTTTCTCCTCCTTCGCCTACTTTCAATAATTTTCAAACGGAATATTTGTTGAGATAATTTCTGATTTCGGTAATGATTTCCTCGTATAATTACAACTGATCTATGTTACAAACTATTTCAAAATTTCTGTGACCTTTAGGTGGATAAAGTTATGGTAGTTTCGCCGAACTTTCCCGAACTTGTTTATTCAGTCATGCATAAGCTGATTGTTTTCGAAGATGGCCGATTTTGGAAAGTTTAACATTGCAATTTCCTTTGTAACATGTATTTACCTCATAATTCTACTGATATATCTTCTCGCTAAATTATAGTACAGTTAGAAAATACAGTTATCTCAGTATATACGACTCTAAGATTAGGATTAAGTTTTACAAAGAGTTTGTAATGAGTTGGATTTATATAACAAAGGAAGTTTATGCTGTGGATAGGGGAGTTATATTTTAGAGACAGCAAATAAATAAAAATAAAGTTGAGGAGGCAGTGTAAATAAAATAAAAATGTAATTCTTAGCAAAACCTTATAGAACATTACTAATATTAAGGCTACATCTTGTAGTTTGACCAAGTTACAACTACTTATATGTCGTCGGTGCAATGTCACACCCACGAATGTGCAAAATGAGCGTTAGGAGATATTCAACTTTTAAACTTTCAATTAGTTGACAAAATTCAGGATTTAATGCGACATTTTTTTGTACTTTTAATATCAGATGTTATGGTTATATTTTAGAGATATTATCAGAGATTTTCGAAAATATCCATTATTTTTCGGAAAAAGTTACATTCGTGATTGCGGCATTGTAGTTTTTTTATTAAAATGCATATACGTGAAATTATATCAACCTTTATTATGGTAAAAGTGGAACAAAAAGTACCTTCTAATAATAAAAAATAATAACAATATAAAAAGATAGAAGTAATAACATACTTAGTAAAATACTTCATATTTTAGAATAATTTAATTCTCGTCTGAATCCTCGCTTTCATTTGACTCCGGTAAATTGTCCTTTTTTTTGCTCTGTATTTTTATCGGCATTTATAGAATTATAAAAGTTATGATAGTTCTTTGTAATTGTTAAATCATTACACATTTTCTGCAGATCTTTATATTTAGCAATCGCAATTGGCAACTGCTTATCATAAGCTTTCTTCAAGTAAACGTTTTTGGGTCGACCACGACTTTTCATGCAGTTTACTAGTTGAAATTCATCTCCAAAATTTTTTTATAGGACATTGTCACCATGACGTCGGTTTTAATGTATCGTAACCAGCAAACTTGTTGCCAAGGAATTTGGTTCAATGTATAGTTCTGTATTCCAAAGGATTTGAAATCAAAGACGCCATCAAACATTATGAATCTGACTTCAAATGGACGTGGATGTGTTCGAGCATTTTTTATTATCTGAGCCCAACCTTCTGGTGAATAAACAGGGACATATTTTGATTTTTGTTCGATTTTCGAGTGGAGTGGTTGTCAATTAATTATTATTGACATTATTAATCAACCAACCAGTAATGGTTGGTTGATTAATAATGTAATTTTAAATACACGAGGATATCTTGTTTGGCCCCCTTTTTCCTTGGGTTTCGTCCCAAAGGTAGCAGATTCCATCCTGATTCCCTAAGTTGTAGAGAGTCAGGTTGTAAATAGCCAATTTTCGTAGGTAAAATATTTGTCCTGTTAGACCCTTTGGACTCGTAAGCACTGCTTCGAGGTCAAAGTTAAACGATATTACCTCTGGATTATTCTTTGAAATTTCTTTGTCTTCGTCTCTAGCCTCACGAGCTAATTGCTTCCTTAGCATGTGTTCGTGATGAGCCTGTTCGTGTGTTATTTTTTCCTCCTCTGTCAAATTCGTATATTTTAAGCACTTTTTACAGTGGTCTTTTTTGGGTTTATGGAACCCCAAGTTATAAGTTCTTAACACTCGTTGATATTTTTCGAAAGAAACTGGATGGACATTTAATTCGGAGCACTTTAATTTGTACAATTTGTACATAATACAGACGTTTAGTGCAGAATCCAAATACCTTTTGGTACTAGAGGCCCTACAGTAATGCGACTCCAACGCTGGAAACGATAGAATGTGCTCACGAATCAGCAGTTCGTCATCATCTTTCAATTTATTATGTGGGACATGCTTTCCGCGATTTTCTTTTTCAACTATGCCGCTAGAAGAAAGCTTTGCCACAGCTCCGCGCATAAATGCATCTGTTACATTCAGTGTAGCCATAAAAAGGGCCCGACATACTTGCCTTTTTTCCCCATTAACAGTAAACGAGTAATTCATGGTATACGTTCTTCTTGAATTTTCAATGTTTCTAGTGATTCTCTTTTTCTTTTGTTTATCAAGTAGTGTCTAGTAGAAACAATACAACGAATGTAAACTAAATCCAAAATCCACACTGCCACAAACACGTAAGTGTCACTTTCGCGATTCGCACGTCGTAGTTTAACTTAATCACTACTCTGCCACAAACACGAAGTGGTACATACGCGATGCACGCATTGCAAATGATCAATACAGACTGACTTTCGTGAAAGTACGCATTTCATTCCCACCACCTCCTAGTCTTCAATTAAATTCGTGGTTGCAGCGGAGTGCAGGAATGAATGGGACATTATTAGTGGTGTACTTAGGTGAAAATTGAAAATTTTGCACATTCGTGGGTGTGGCATTGCACCGACGATGTAAACTTAGGCAAATATGAAAATTGCATATTTTGCATATGAGGCCATTATTTGCAAAACTTGCTCTGTGCTCGAAAGAAATTAGAAGTTTCTAGCCTAAAATGTTTACAGAGAACAAAAAAATAATGTATATTGCAAACAACCAATTTTACCAATAAATATATAAACCAATAACAAACCGTATTTACTTCAATAAAAAACATAAGGGATTTATTCATGAAAATAAAACTTTACCATTTTTAGTCATACAAAGAAAATGTTTTAAATAAAAAAAATCTAGGTAATCAAATCAAAAAACAGTCATTTTTTTCATGTTGGCAATTTTCCAAACCATCAACGGTTTCTTCTGGTGAGGTAGAATCTGTTTTTAAGTGTTTATTGTAAAAATCGAGTTCAGGAAGGCTTCTTCAATTTTCTCCATAGTGTTTTGAAAGGAGACTATTAACAGTAACTTTATCCCCCTTTAACTCTTTTGCCAGTGGTAACTTCTTAGGAGCCATTGACGAAAGAGGAAAATTTTTCTTACAGATGCTTTTAGGTTTTCCAACGTCATTTTGGTAATTGGGTTCACCTTGGACAAGAACATTGTTGCCTCTTTTGTAAAAAATAAACCGCTTTGCCTTATTAAGTTTAAAGTGCCATGAACTACGCAGCTTAATAATTCGTTTTGTTTGTGTCCTCCAATCAAACACATTCCAATCGATACCAATTTTTTGTACAGTGGAATGCTTTCTGATTAAGTCGTCGTAGTCACTAATTTCCACGATAACAGAACTTTTTTTAATGTCTTTTTCTATAAGGCCGAAAATACGATCAGGCGGAATAAAGGAATGACCGACGATCGAAAAAATTAATTCAATTTGTTTAATATGATTCGGCGATTCTTCTAGAAGCCAATAAGACTGTAACCTCGGAAATCTTTTTTTGGGTGGTGATAGAAAGATAACCAATGGAGACACTGCGGACGGCAGCCAGATGGTTGGTGGAGAGCGAGTCGTGGGTTCGAAACTAGCTTTTGGAACCGGGAATGGATCCAACGGAAGAAATAGGTAAAGATAGGATAAGAGATATTAGAAAAGATACAGAAATAAACAAAAAGATAGATGGGTAAAATTACCAAAGATAAGAGAAGATAGAAACAGGGCGCCACTCACTTTTTTGGGGTTAAGGAGAAAATTAAGAAAACCTTAGAAAAGAAAAGAGATAAGAAAAGATATTTAGGTTCAGAGATCAAACCCAAGGAAAGATACCAACAGTAAATTATCAAATAAATCGTCACGCAAAACAAATAATAAATATATTAAGTATTACACTTACTTACCTACGAAACTTAATCACCCTGATCTTTCTACAGTTCAAAAGCATAGTAATATTTAAAGATAGTAATTGTTTAGAGCTATTATTTTATCAGGGAACTTGTTAGGAGCCGACAAATAAAATACATGCATAAAACAATAACAATATAGTAAACACAAAATTATGATGCTGCTAAATGCAACACATGTAATAAAAATACACAACTATGAAATGATGTTATATATGTATAAAATTAAGCAATAATGTAATAAAAAAATACCTTTACCAAGATATATAAGGCAATCATATACAAATATAGTTTGGCGTATCTCGAGATATCATAGGAAAGATAATGAACAAAAATTATAGGAAATACAAAAGATAGCAAAAATTACTTAACTCTAAATGTACAAAAATACAAAAAGGTTACAGAAATAAAAACATAAACCAAACCGCACTTGGTTAAGTCAATTAACTATCTCGCACTATTATTTAATAAAAACTTGAGACTTGTATGTTCATAGGTATTATTTATAGAAATTTATTGAATGGTTCTTTAAATTACATTCAAAAATCGGCAATCTACAGGTGAAGATATGGATGATACGTCCAGATAATGGCAGGTGATATGATACCATACCATATTACTCGCCCAGATAATTGTAGATAAAGATTACTTACAGTAGATATTGACGAAGGCAGCTTAATTCACTGAATTTAAGATACTGTACTGGTATTCAACACTGAATTTAATTAGGTACCATTAAAGGTAGTGTAGAACTATATATAATTTAATATAGTCTAAGAAAAGAAAACTCAAATATAAAGTGTATACACACTTAGAAAATAATTCACAAAGACGATACGATAAGAAATAAAGTGAGCAAAGCGTAACACGAGATATTGGCCTTAACTCAACAACGGCCCACCAAAAAGTCTCACGAGATATTACCTCACTCAACAACTGCCCACCAACAAGTAAATTGGTTCCACTAAAAATTTCCCCAACTGTCCCTGAAAAAGGAAGAAGAAAATATTTCCCCAATCAAGAATTCTATATAGGACAGTTGTATGTGTCTCTCAGAAGGTAAGGCCTTAACGACTATTGGAAAGTTTGAGGTAAAATAATCGGTATTAACAATTGGACCTGAGAATATTAAAATCCTTAGGATTATATTATTGTCAAAAAGTACGGGCCTTCGGCGAAAATTACCAATTTATGAAAAAGAAACTGCACACAGGAAAGCATTTGTTCTTTTCATACAGAGTATTAAGACGGAAGGATTAAAAACCTTTCTTAATTAGGGAATTCCATTTCAGCTTGGTGTCTACAATAATATTTTTCTATCGTAAACACGGGGATTCCTAATCATCGGCGTATCGCACGGGGGTAAAAGGAATTAAAAATAATTTGATATATTAATAATAAAAAAAAATGTTACAAGACAACATTGCCATCATATTGGAATTTTTGTTTTGTCCGCCAGAACCCTCAGCGAACAAACGTACTGTTTCTATGCCGACATCAAAATCAAAATTCTTTAGAGCATGTTGCAAAGCTGACGCTATTGTATTAGAATCTTTTCTAGAGTCAATTTCTGTCCACACGTAAGAAAACACATTTGTTGGTCTTAATTTATCGTAGAAGTTCCAGGAACAATTGCTAAAATTATTGTAGTTTATTTGCTGGCTGAAATATGCTGCTTGATCAGGCGGTCTAGGCAGTGCTAAGTTTTTTTGGCAGTCGAACGAAAAGTAAGTTGTGTTGGGTTTTGGATTTTTAAAAAGTTTGATAAAAGCCTTTGCTTTTACGATATGAATACGATACTCAGTGGCTAACTTTTGCCGAACAGCTAAAGAAGTTGCTACTTTTAACTGCTTCTTTGTTCTCAAGCAAGTGGAGCAACAGTCAGTCAGCGGAGTTCCAAAAGCGATGTTGTAGTTAACATTCACATACTTTCGAAAATAACTAAGCTTCACATGCATGGACTGACGTGCTCTCTGAAGATAATGACCGAAAAGTTTCTTAAAATTCAAGTCACATGGCAAGTAGACCCTCACGCTTGTCTTGTTTTTACAGTAATAAGATTCTGTACATGTTATGGATTCCATAAATTTTTTGACGCAGTTTCTTTTTTCATCATTTTTTGGACCCACTCTATTGCCACCTCTACGTTCTCTTGGTAGCTCCCCAGTTATAACAAAATTTCTTACAACTCTTTGTATGCGGTCCTTGCTTAAATTTGTGATTCCTAGAAATGACTTAACACATACTCTAATCATCTTACCCTCACTCATATGTACATGGTATTTTATCGACACTGGAGCATGATTAGATTTTCCTCTTTTCAGTTTCTGTCCCTTACAACAAGTCAATATCAGAAGGTCTTGTTTACTTTTATCTTTTGACTGATAAAGGTAGGCATGGAAATCTATCACTTGCTTCATCGTGAGTGTGTTACAATAATACGGCAATCCGGGTCGTCCATTATGACCACAAGTTGGAAAGGTCGGCAGTGCTTTTGGTGTATTTCTGTAACAATACAACTCTTTTAATAAACTTTGTGTGTAGCCCTACTCAACGTTAAATCGCGAAAAAAAGCAAAACTCCATAAAAATCAAACGATTGTCGCACAAGTCTAAAATTATAAATTTTAATATGAAGTACTTACCTAGCAAGTTTATCTACATTCCTTTTATGTGTTTCTGGCTGAAGAAATTTTTGCATCCTTTTCCTGTGGACTAGGTTTAACAGAACAACCATTTTCACTTAATAACTCCATAACAATAAAAACTGTTTCTAATTCGCCAAAATACAACTATTTATTCACTTGAATAATTACAAACTACTGAAAATTCGTCAACACGGCTGTTGTAATAGCGTGTTCGTCACCAACCGGCTAATTTCATTGGAGGTAGAGCAAACAGCAAGTTTTGCAGATAAACGTTCAAAGCAAAGAGAGAGTTCTGCAAATAACTGTAAGTTTCTCGACAGCATTTGTATGCTAAAGAACGAGTTTTGGGAAATTCTGATTATATCATTCGATTTCTATTTAAAATTGAAATAAACTTAACAAAAAAATAATTTTCGAAACTTTTGTCGATTAGCGAGTTTTGCAAATAATGGCCTCATATGTTACATAAAAATGCAAAAATGTCAAATTTTGTATATTTTTTTAAAAGTGAGTATAAAGTGCATATAATTTAAAAATTTGGTGTTAACTATATATTTTTATATTCAAACTTAAAGATAGCATGAAAATGCCAATATTTAATTTTGACTAAAAGATAGCAGCTTATAGTTTTGTCACGTTTTGTCCTGGAATTAAGGGCTTGTGTAAACTAGTTTATGTCTCTAGGTGAAAATTTTTATTTTGACAGTCAGTTTAACTGGGTTTCACTTTTGTTGTAAAATTGAAGGAGTAAACAACGTGTATTTCTAATTGTGAATAATTATTGTGCTTTTAAAATGCCGAAAATAAGCAATGTTTCGACTTGGATAAAACCTTACAAAGAGATGGAGATGGATAAAGTTTATTGCTCATGTTATGGCAAAACCGTAAGTTTGATTTTTTATTTTATTTTAAAAATTTACACAAGTTGTACAAACAAAGATTTTAAAATTGGAGATTATGTTTAAGAAAAGTACTGAACCGAGGCTAGTTCGCAATTAATTCATGTATTTTTTTTTTCAACCATTTTTAAACTATTCGCGATAAAAAATAGGATACCTAAAATTCAAATCATTCAATAGCCTACTGAAAGGTCGCTAACATTTTTTTTCTAACAATAGCATAGTTTGCTTTAATTTTGCTAAAAACAAAAATATGTCATATATTGGGGTTAATTAATTAAGTGCTTTTAATTTATGCTCCAGTATTTTTTCTTTAAATGTAAACAGAAAACACCAAGAGTTTCTTATAAATATTTTAAATAATTGATGGATTCGACCGTTACTTGATGGAAATTCATTTTATGTAACAATAAAACACTGAAAACTTTGTTATCAAACTTCCACTAAATTTATTTTAAATCTTATCACTACAGCTGTTTCGGCTGATTGCCTTTCTCAAGTGATCTATTTTTGGCTTGCGTTTACACTTTATTGTCACTAATGAAAAAGGTTGAGGAGGGAAGAACTGTTTGTCTCAAGTTGGTCATTCAGAATTATATCTGTGTTTAGTAATTTGTTGATTTCCATAGATTCTAACAAAGATAGCTTAAGGCCGTTATTTTGAATGTGAAGAATTTTAAATTTGTCATTAAAAGCAAACAAAAACATATAACAAAACAATTTAATTCTTAAATAATCAAAATATTGAAACTTTACACAAAGATCCGACAGAAAAATATCAAAAACAAATTAAGCTAGCGTTAGAAAATTCAAAATCAATAGTAAATCCAATAGAACAGAAACACCTTAATATCATCACCTCACAGCCTCCTAAATTAGACTCTTTCATTAAACTACACAAACCGGATCACCCAATAAGACCTGTAGTTTCATTTTATACAGCTTCGCCATATAGACTTAAAAAAAACTGTTGTAGATTATTTTAGAACACACTAAATTTTCACCTAAATTTATCATAAAAAATGCAATAGAACTAGTTAATAAAATACAACATTTTCAATTACCTAACTACTCCAGATTAATTTCATTTGACGTAAAAAATCTTTTTCCTAGTATCTCTCCTACAGAAACTTTTATTCTAGTAAAAAACCTTTTAGGCCAAAATAGTACAAATCCAAAAATTACATCTGAAATTTTACATCTTCTTGAAGTTTGCATAAACCAGGACTACTTTGAATTTAATAATCAAATATATACAAATAACAGTGCAGGACTTATAATGGGCAATCCTCTAAGCCCACTGCTATCAGATATTTTTATGGATCATCAGATAGAGGCAAAGATTTCAAAACATCCGTATTTAAATGGTGAAGATACGTAGACGACGTACTAGTATGTTTCACAGGAACTAACAGGCAACTCGACCAATTTTTATCGTACATTAATTCACTTAATAGTCATATTGAATTTACAATAGAAACAGAACAAAATCAATCCATAAATTTTTTAGATTTAAAAATTATCAGACTTAAAAACAAACATGACTTCTCCATATTTCACAAACCTACCCATACTGACACGACTATACACAATTCATCATCCCATCCAACACAACATAAACTCGCAGCATATCATAGTATGTTACATAGATTAATAGAAATTCCGATGTTAAAATACAATTTTGAGACAGAATTAAATATAATTAAGCAAATAGCAGTAAACAACGGATATAACGAACAAACAATTAATAAGTGTTAAATCAAAAACTACACAAGAAAGCCCTGAAATTAGTATTTCCACCACCAGAGAAAAAACTTAGTACCTTCTGCTCGATTACATATACAGGCAAAATATCAACAAAAATAGCCAAACGCATAAAAAAGAAAGGAATAACACCAGCTTTCCGAACAAATAACAACCTACGCAAATATATTAAAAACAACAAGAGACAAAATAAAAAACACTTACACAGTGGTGTGTACAAACTTAAATGTGGCGACTGCCCAAAAACTTACATCGGTCAAACTTGTAGAAACTTTAATAAACGAATAGCAGAACATAATAGGGCTTTCAATAATAGAAAAACAGATTCTACATACGCACTTCACCTTCTAGATCATAATCATTCTTTTAATGACAAATTTAAAATTCTTCACATTCAAACTAAAGGCCTTAAGCTATCTTTGTTAGAATCTATGGAAATCAACAAATTAAAAAACACAGATATAATTCTGAATGACCAACTTGAGACAAACAGTTCTCCCCTCCTCGACCTATTTCATTAGAGACTATAAAGTGTAAACGCAAGCCAAAAATAGATCACTTGAGAAAGGCTATCAGCCGAAACTGCTGTAGTGATAAGATATAAAATAAATTTTGTGGAAGTTTGAAAACAAAGTTTTCAGTGTTTTATTGTTACATAAATATTTTAATTGGTATGCAAAAACGGTTCATTTTTAGTTTATTTCTACCATCTTAGATTTTAAAACTTACTGCAAGTATAGAATATTTATATTCTTTTTTTGATTTCATCTGTAAAAAAATTCAAATAGATCAGCATGTCAGAACCGCGAAACATTTAGCTAAAAAAGTAAAAACCACATCCGGTGAAAAATATCAACTTTCAATGTACAAGTGCTTTCAGTCAAGTTCCAAAAACAAACCGAACAAGAAACTTTTAACGAAGACTTGTGTCGTACATTAGTATCTTCTAATATACCGCTTTCAAAATTATCTAATGAAAACTTTGGTTCTTTTTTAAAAAAATATTGCAAACAAAAAATTCCCAGTGAACGAACTCTAAAGAGAAATAATGTCAATTTGTTATACTTCTCAGTTTTCCACAACATAAAAGCTGAAATAGGTAATAATTACTTTAACATATGTGTGGACGAGACCACTGACTCGTCGGGAAGATACATTGTGCACTTATTGATTAGTGTACTTAGCGATGAAACCTTTCCAAAATCGTATCTAATTTCCTGTAAGCAAGTGGAAAAAACCAACGCTCTAACAATATCACGGTTTCTACAAGAAGCATTAGCAAACTTTTTTCTTCCTGCTGCTGTGCCTAATGCTAAATTATTGTTTATTTTATCTGATGCCGCACCATATATGGTGAAAGTAGGACAAAATTTAAAAATATTTGATCTAAAGTTAATACGTGTCACTTGTTAGCGCATGGAATAAACAGAGTTGCGAAGGAAGTAAGAAAAAAATTTCGACTAGTTAACATTTTAATAATGAGCGTCAAAAAGGTAAGAATACAATTTTACAGAGATATGCTTCCTGCTGTTTCACTGCCACCGCAACTCCTTTTTAACACGTTGGGGAACATGGTTGGAAAACCAAGGAAAAGAAAAAGGAAAAAGGAAAAGAAAAAGAAAAAAAAAAGGAAAAAGGAAAAAGGAAAAGAAAAAAAGAAAAAGAAAAAGGGAAAAAGGAAAAAGGAAAAAAGAAAAAGGAAAAAGGAAAACGAAAAAAGAAAAAGGAAAAAAGAAAAAGGAAAAAGAAAAGAAAAAGGAAAAAGGAAAAAGGAAAAAGGAAAAAGGAAAAAGGAAAAAGGAAAAAGGAAAAAGGAAAAAGGAAAAAGGAAAAAGGAAAAAGGAAAAAGCAAAAAAAAGGAAAATGGAAAAAGGAAAAAGGAAAAAGAAAAACGAAAAAGGAAAAAGGAAAATGGAAAAAGGAAAAAGGAAAAAGGAAAAAGGAAAAAGGAAAAAGGAAAAAGGAAAAAGGAAAAAGGAAAAAGGAAAAAGGAAAAAGGAAAAAGGAAAAAGGAAAAAGGAAAAAGGAAAAAGGAAAAAAGGAAAAAGGAAAAAGGAAAAAGGAAAAAGGAAAAAGGAAAAAGGAAAAAGGAAAAAGGAAAAGTAACACAGTAGAAGACCCTGATGGTTTCCATGGCAACAACTAACAATAACCACGGAGGAAGTAGTAAGCTGTAGCTTCCTGTAATTTTCTATTTTTCTCTATTTTCTCGATTTCTCTAAAATCAATAGTTTTAAAATAAATAAGAAAATGTTCTGAAAAGCGTGATATCTACCCCTCTACACCCTTAAGATAGGATTGTAGAAGGAAACAGTGGATTACATGATAAATTTTTTAGTAGGGTCCTAATTCTAAATAAATTTCAACAAAAAACCGATAATATTTTTTTTCTAAACTCTCTCTTCTAAATACTGCTCTATTTCTATATTAATGGTTTTCATTGTAATATATATTTGATATAAATAGTATTTGACAAAGATCCACATGATAGCACATTCTCTACACAGATAGATGTAAGAATTATCATAATTTCTATTAAAACTACAGAGTCTAAATCCACTACATATCTATTTAAATTTTATTCCGTACCTTCATCCATCCCCCAAGAGAACGCCATTTCTAGGCATATCTGCACAATAGGAGAAAAGAACTCATGAATATAAATCCGAGCAGGCATTTTCGTAATTTCCTTTTATCCCGTGGATTTTCCAGGCCCTTTTCAATGGGAAAAATGATGAGGTAATCTCAGAGTTAGTGCGCTACTTACCCTGTGTTTGCATACAGGGTTAGTCATTTAGAGATTCGTTGGAATTCGGTAATGGGGGCAGGGATGGGTGTATCGAACGCTGAAAGAAGATGACTGAACGTTGATGTGCTAAGCAGGAATGATAGGAATGTCTCGTAGTGAAGAATGTTATTAATTTTTACATGGCGTTTCGTGGTAAACATTTATTATAGCCATTAATAAAAATTATTCGTTTTTAGGAGCTGGCTGCTTTAAAAGGACACGAGATACTCTGGGTGATGGTATTAAAGATAAAACAACAATTGTATGTAACAAGATATAAATAATATAATGGGTGATGGTTAAGTATTTTAATTTTTTATTGTATGACATTGTTGACATTTTGTATTATACAGGGTATAATTGTTATTACAATTATACCCTGTAATAATTGTAATAGAGTATATATTGGAGAAAGGTCCAGAAATTTGTCCGGAAGATTAACATCTCACAAGAGTGATATTAATCTGAATAAAGTACAAGCCTGTGCATTAAGTGAACATTGTATTACAATGGGCCATACGCCTAACTATGATCAAACAGAAATATTGAGAAGGGAAAGAAATTACAACAAAAGACTGTTTCTAGAAATGTGTTTAATTAAAACTACACAAAACACCTTAAACAAAAGAGAAGACATTGACAATCTTAGTGCTATATACAGTAATCTTCTTTTAAATAAAAGAATAACAATATAAAAGTTCTTAAAAGTTACGCATATTAAAGGGATTATTTCAAGTTCAAATGAGATAAAATTTATTTTTATTTGTGTTTTTTCTTTCTTAATTACTTAGTAACATAAACTATGTTGCTTGTTTAATAACTGTAATATTATATCAAAATTTGCAATGAAGGTTTGCATAAACATAGACACTTCCTCTGTCAATCTCACCTAAAATAAATATAAAAAATAGAAGAGACATGGAAACCTTAGTAATAAGTTTTGACAGAACGAAAAAGTAAATCAAATTTAATAATGTCATTATGTTAATTAATTTTGCTAATTTTAAAACACAATCCTCACAAGGGTAAGCCTATTGAAGATATAATAACTTCATTTTTCTAATGTAATTTTTTATGTTAATTTTTAGTACGTTTTGAAAAAGAGTACAATAAACTCGAAAGCTTAACAAACCTAAAAGAGTTTTACTTAAAGGCCAATATTGACTATTAAACCCAAGATATCCGTATATATATATATATATATATATATATTATATATATATATATATATATATATATATATATATATTGTTGTGATCTGCTTTATGATGTTTTATTATTAATTAACGCTAATTTAATTAATCCAATTATTTAATTAATTAATTCACTAATTTATGCAGAGTCATATAATTCAATTACTATTAAAAATTCTCAGGGTGCCTTTTTATTAAAAATTATTACTTTAATCAGTTTACTTTATATATCTCTTCTAGTGGGTTCAGTATCTCCTAGTTGCTCATAATCGGGATAGAACAGGAAACGGAACTAACATTAAAACAACATAAATATGCACACAAATTATTATTTATTTTCAATGAACAATACGATTAATATTAATAAATAACTTCTGTGGGCAATTTTCTTTCCCAACAAACTCCTATACTCTAAATTTATTTTAATTACAAACTATCTATTGATCTGTTTTATAATAATATCTACTAAAAAAAATGACCATATAAAAATATAATTTATTCACAAAAAAAAATAACTCTTTGAAACTTGGAATCTTAGTTCGTATGCTTATATTTGATTTTATCTTTAGAATATCTTAAAATTTTCTTTCATTCAAATTATTTGACTGACCTGTATTTTTACACCAATGATGTCTCCTCTCGATCAAACCACAGTTCCTTCCTTGATTGATTATGTCCGGCTACCATCAAATCTTTCCCGTTCTCAGCATCGATCCAAACCGCATACCAGCAAACTACTCCTCCGAAAACATAAGCCCAAGCCTCTTTTGACCGGTACTATTTATTCACAAATTCTCCTTTCTTTCTCAATTATATCTCGTGGACTATGCAGATTCAAAAGAGGTATTAATCTTCTCGATTTTGATCTGCTCTCAGCTTCCACCTTTTTCACTAACAAACGAAAACACTGGTACTCAGATTGACTACACGAAAACACGTCTTCCACCATTCTTTTTTAACCAATCATAAGCATTCATCTTTCCCACTTATTTTCGATTTAGAAAATTTCCAACATGATATTTAAAACAAATAAACTACTTTCACTCAAATTACTTTTCAGAAACCATTAACAATTTTGCCTTTTTCAACAGAAATAAGTTTCCAAATTCTTGTTATCTCCTATCTAGATCTAATTCTTATTTACTTTCGAAAAATGCCCACCGCAAAATACAATTACAAGTTTATTCCTAAATCTATAATTATACTGATTCCATTGTCCTTTCACTATTCACTCAGTCTTTCACGGAAAAACTCGTTAGGGTCCCGTCACGGAACAATGTTTTCTCTTATTCTAACTATTACAAATAAGTACAGGGTTGTATTTTAACTTATATGCCCGCGGTATATTAAAATAATAAAAAACTCTTTATTGTATTTCTGATCGATAAACTGATCCATAACAATATATATATATATATATATATATATATATATATATATATATATATATATATATATATATATATTATATATATATATATATATATATATAATATATATATATATATATATATATATATATATATATATATATATTGTGGATTAACATTCTGTACGGTGAATCTATTCGGCAATTAACTAGCATTTTTTCCACTGCCCATAGTTCTATGCTGTCGAACGCTTTTTCATAGTCAACAAACGCTGGTATATTGGAAGGTTGTATTCGTTTTTCTTTTCTTTCAATATTTTAACTTATATATATTTTAAGAGTGTGAAGGTGGTCGGTTGTGCTTTATCCCTTTTTAAATCCTGCTTGCTCAACTGGTTGGTATGCATCAAATTTGTTGTTTAGTCTAGTTGTGATTACCTTAGTGAAAGTTTTATAGATTTGTGACAAGAGAGATATTGGTGTATAGTTCGCTAATTTTGATCTATTTACTTTCTTATATATCAGAATTGTATTTGCCTTGTTCCACTCTTGCGGTATTTGTCCTTCAAACAAGCATTTATTGAAAAGTATCTTTAGGTAGTCTTTTATCTTTTCCCCTCCTTCTTTTAACATTTCAATTAGCATGTCATCATTACCCGGAGCCTTATTTCTTTTCATATCTCTAATGTATTTTTCTATTTCTTCTCCGGTTATGGGGGTAATGTTTAAGAGTTTACATTCATTATTTTCTTTGTCAGGTTTTGTTGAGTTGTATCAGCTGGACTGTTCTATAATATCCTAAATAAGACAAGAAAAGAATTTAAACCACGGCTGACGATGTGTAGAGACAAAAATGGACATATAGTCAGTACCGCTGACGCAGTACAAAGCAGATGGGTTGAGCACTTCAAAGAACTACTTGGTACCGAAGTGGAAAATGATGCGTCACCCCAAAGACCAAGAAATAACACTCACGTAGAACCTCCTTCAATATTTGAAGTGAAAGACGCAATCACACGACTCAAAAATAGCAAGTCCCCAGGAGTGGATTGTATCCCCGCAGAGCTCATCAAACATGGAGGTAACAGCATTATGCACCAAATTCACAACATAATAGTCAAAGTCTGGGAAGAAGAACAAATGCCAGAGGAATGGTGCACTGGAATCATATGTCCACTACACAAAAAGGGAGATTTGTTGGAATGTAAAAATTATAGGGGTATAACTCTTCTGAATACAATGTACAAAATATTCTCCAACACCCTGTACAGCCGTTTAAGTACGTACGTGGAAGAAATCCTTGGTGAGTATCAAAGCGGTTTTAGGCCAGGTAGGTCAACAATTGACCAGATTTTTGTGCTACGTCAAATCTTAGAAAAAACCAATGAATTTAATATTGACACGTTCCATCTCTTTGTGGACTTTAAGTCAGCGTATGATAGCGTCCTAAGAGGTAAATTATACGAAGCCATGAATGAACTTAACATTCCCCATAAATTAATAAGGCTCGTAAAAACAACTATGAGTAAAGTGATCTGCAGAGTGCAAATACAAGGCGATATGTCACAAGCGTTTGAAACATATGCAGGGTTACGGCAGGGAGACGCGCTGGCGTGCCTTCTCTTTAATATAGCGTTAGAAAAGACTATAAGAGATGCCAAGTTACACAATAGGGGAACAATCTTTAATAAATCAACGCAGATTATGGCGTACGCTGACGATTTGGATTTGATTGCACGTACTACACGAGGACTTAAAGAGATGACTTCCACCTTCTTGACAGCCGCACAAAACATGGGCCTTAAAATAAACGAGGAAAAAACCAAAATGCTAGCATCTATTCCAAATAACAGAGATAGAGCTAGAAACGCCGAACAAAACTTCAGTATAGACCAATATAATTTTGAGGTAGTAAATAAGTTTACATATTTGGGTTCTCTCATAACAAACGATAATGACACATCTGAAGAAGTTAAACGGAGGGTACTGCTAGCAAACAAATGTTATTTTGGACTAAGCAAGCAGCTAAAAAACAGAAACTTAAGCCAGAAAACCAAACTAATAATATATCGAACACTCATCCTACCAGTGCTGACATATGGGTCAGAAACATGGACCATCTCCAAAACAGACGCAAATCTTCTGCTCGTCTTCGAAAGGAAGATACTAAGAAGAATAATGGGCGCATTCTGTGAGAATGGTATTTGGAGAAGGCGATATAATTTCGAATTGTACGAGAAATATAAAAAAAAAAATTGTAAATGGTAGAGATGTAATATCCTTCATAAAAATAGGCAGGCTTAGATGGGCTGGACATGTGTCAAGAGCAAATGAAAATTACCCACCCAGACGAACTCTATTATCGGTCCCAGTGGGAAATAGGAGTAGAGGCAGACCACGACTGAGATGGAGGGACGGTGTGGACGAGGACGCAAGGAAAATCG